TGCGCAGGCGGCTCAGCTCCACGCTGGAGCGGCTGTCCAGCCGGTTGCAGCGCAGCGGCAGCAGCGAGGACTCGGGGGGCACGTCGGGCAGAAGCACGCCGCTGTTCGGACGGCTGCGCAGGGCCACGTCCGAGGGCGAGAGCCTGCGGCGCCTGGGCCTCCCGCACAACCAGCTGGCCGCTCAGGCGGGCGCCGCCACGCCTTCCGAGGAGTCCCTGGGCTCCGAGGCCAGCGGCACGTCCGGCGGCTCCGGTGAGCAGGGGCAGGGGCAGCGTGCGGGAGCCGGTGTGAGCAGGCCTGGGTGGTGGAGGGTGCGGGGCCGGGGTGACGGAAGAGGGTGGGCCTCGATGGAGGGAGGCCCTGGGAGGAGGCGGGGCCGGGCACCCACCAGAAAGAGGCTGAGGAGGTGCTGGGGGCCCTGCGGATGGAGCTGCAGGAGGCTGCGGGGCAGAGGCTGGTTTGGGAGCAGGCCAGGCTGGGGCTGGGTGCACTCTGCTTCTCTTGGGCTGAGGGCTGCAGAGAGGTGGGCGCTGTCTGGCCCTGGCTGGGCAAGGGCTCAGGTGCCTGGGTCTTCACAGCTCCTGCTGAAAGCCGGAGCCGGCTGCGCTGGGGCCTCTCTCGACTGAGAAAGGACAAGGGGTCATCACAGCCAAACCTCTCTGCCAGCGTCCAGGAGGATTTGGGTCACCAGTATGTGCGCAGCGAATCAGGTAAGAGAAGCCTGCTGGGCGAGTAGGCCATCCTACGGAGGGGACAGTCCTAGCTGGGTGGGAGATGGACCACTTTGAGGAGCCCGGGCAGTGATGGAAGGGAGCTGGAATCAGGAAAACAACAACAATCATAATAACTGCAGCAGCTGTCATTAATTAGCAGCGCCAAGTGTCTTATTAAGCACTTTACAAGGGCTGCCTCCCTCAGTGCTCCCACATTGTTGAGGAACTGTTATTTGCATCATGTTCGTATTTTACAGGTGAGGAAACAGAGGCTTAGCCATGCTAAATAGCTTGTGGAAGGCACAGAGCTGGTAGTAAGTGCAGCAGCCAGAGAGCGGGACTGTATGACCCTGTGCAGCCAGACCCCAGAAGTGGCTTCAGGACACCCTACTGATGCCTTTCTTTGGCTAGCCTCCCTCGTGGGAGAGCCTAGAAGGTCCCTGTAACTGCATGTAGTTCTGAAGGAGGTCAGGGTAGGGCTCCCCTGCCCCACAGCGCCTGTACCTATGTGTGTATGCTTGAATGTGCACACAAAGACACTATTTTTCTCCCAGCCTAGAGGCCCACAATCTGGACTGTGCCCCCAATTTGCCATTTCTCTACAGCCCTGAACACCTGAGTGCCCCTCCCTGCCACCC